ATAGGTCATGTCTGTAGTAATCTTGTACTAGGATTAGATAGGAGTAGTTGGGAGTTGGAGTACTTGCCAACTACCCTTGTACCTAGCAAGGCACAGCTAGAGTTGTATATATTCTATCCAAAAGCAATGGAATACTTAGTTCAGCTTGCCACACTTGAAGCAGAGTTCGGCCAACACTGGTTTTTGTGCTGTGTGTGTGTTTTGAGCTCACCCCCTTTCTTCAACCTCTTGCCGACCAGTGTGAGTGTGTGGGTATGCTAGTTGCTTACCCGTGCAGGGATTGAGGGACCAACAAGTGGTATCAGAGCCATGTCGAGTTGCGTTGTTGCCGGCTGATCACCGGCGATGGCTGGCGAGGATGGCTCATCGGTGGGCACCGAAGGCGGTGATGCTATGGTTGCCTAGCCACGACAAGAGGTCATCATGTGCACCGTGCGGGAGGTCAGCGGGAACAGCTGGCCGACCCTAACCCACATGAACTATGGCGAGTGGGCAGTGACCATGATGGTCAAGCTCGGAGCCCGACGGCTCTAGAAGGCGATTGACCAGGGCACCGACGATGTAGATGACTGCTCAGTGATGGAGGCTATCCTAGTCGTCGTGCCGTTGGAGTACCGGGAGCCGCTGGGGGTGAAGAAGATGGCCAAGGAAGTGTGGGACGCCCTCACCGCCATGTGCATCGGTTCCAACCGCGCAAAGAAGGCGAAGGCGCAGCAACTGCGGCGGGAGTATGGCAACCACAAGTTCTGCAGTGGAGAGGCGGTCGAGGACTTCTCCCTCAGGCTGCAGTCCCTCGTCAGGGCGGTCTATGGCGTCACCATCGACTAGGAGGAGGCCGTCTCCAAGTACCTGTGCATCGTGCCATCCAAATACACCCAGATCGCTCTCTCCATCGAGATAATGCTGGACATGTCAACCCTCACCATCGAGGATCTGACTGGGCGCTTGCGGGCGGTGGACGACCGCACAGAGTCGACGGCAACGACGACGGATAGTGGCAAGTTGCTGCTGACCGAGGAGTGGACTGCTTGGATGAAGGAGAGGTGGTCCGGGGAAGGCTCCTCCAGCTACGGCGGCAATGGTAAGCGCCACGGCAAGGCTCCACAGAAGAAGAAGAAGAAGAAGAAGGTCGACCCCAACGCCTGCCGGCACTACGGGAAGACAGGCCACTGGGCAAAGGAGTGCCCAACCCAGAAGAAGGCTGAGGCTCACCTAGCGCAGGTGGACGACGATGAGCCAAGTCTCCTGATGGCGACGTTCTATGCGCTACATGACGTCGAGGCAGAGGAGAAAGCAGAGGAGGTGGCGGCTGACAGACATTTACTACATCCCTTAGTTGTTTTCAAGCATCATCAGCATCGGGCTGCTGGACGAGCGTGGGTGCGAGGTGATGATCAAGAGCGGCATCTTGAGGATTCGGGATCGAGAGCAACGGCTTCTTGCCAAGGTAAAACGATCCTGAAATCGGTTGTATTTGCTCAACTTGAAGGTGGAGTAGCCGATCTGTTTGGCGGCGCAGCACACAGAGGGGCCGTGGCCGTGGCTGTGGCTCAGTTGGCTAGAAAAGATGGTCCGCGGGCTGCCCCACATCAGGCACGTAGGCGAGCTATGTGACAGCTGCCTGGCCGGAAAGCAGAGGAGGCTGCCATTCCCAAAGGCGGCCAAGTATCGCGTGGCGGACGCCCTCGAGCTTGTCCACGGCGACCTCTGCGGGCCAATCACGCTGGCCACGCATGGCGGGTGGTGATATTTCCTTTTGTTTGTGGATGATTGCTGTCGGTACATGTGGCTGCAACTCCTGACGAGCAAGGACGAGGCTACGGAGGCGATCAAGAGGTTCTAGGCGTGGACCGAGGCAGAGTCTGTGAAGAAGCTGTGCGTGCTGAGGACATATCGCGGCGATGAATTCACTTCAGTGGAGTTTGCTGTGTACTGCATGGATTAGGGTGTGGTGCGACACCACACCACGCCGTACTCGCTGTAGTAGAATGGCATGGTGGAGCGGCGGAACTAGACGGTGGTCGGCATGGCTCGATCCATGATGAAGGCCAAGAGCATGCCGACAAAATTCAGGGGTGAGGCGGTGACCATGGCGGTGTTCATCCTCAACCGCACGCCCACAAAGGCCCTGAAAGGCGTGACGCTGTTCGAAGCATGGTACGCATGCAAGTCGGACGTGTCCTTCCTCAGGACGTTCGGCTGCATCGGCCACGTCAAGAAGACAAAGCCGTTCCTCACCAAGCTGGAAGACAGGAGCACGTTGATGGTGCTCCTGGGCTACGAGGAGGGCACCAAGGCATATCGGCTCTACGGCCTAGGACTGGGAGGGTCCGGGCATGAGGGAAGCTGGCGGCTTCAGCGGCACCTTCATCGTCGAGCACTTAGTCTTCCACGGTGGTGGAGACGCTAGAGAGGAGGTGCCGACCACTCCAGCAGTGGAGCTGACCACTCCAGAGGAGGTGCCAAGCACTCCAGCAGCGGAGCGGACCACTCCAACAACAGAGCCGACCACTCCAGCAGCGGTGCCGACCACTCCAGCAGTGGATCTGACCACTCCAAGAGTGGTGCCAAGCGCTCCAGCAGTGGAGCTGACACTCCAGGAGTGGTGCCAAGCGGTCCAGCAGCGGTGCCGACCGCTCCAGCAGAACAGGGAGGCCTGGGACCACCGATCGAGTTCACCTCTCCTCCGAGCGACATCAGCGAGTTCGTGGATGCCTTCCACGACGGCGAGGAGGTGCGGTTCCGCAGGGTGGATAACATTGTCGGCAATGTAGGGGCCTCAGGCCTGGCGAGTCGGCTGCTCGACGATCTAGAGCTTCGTCTCGTCGTGCAGAGGAGCCGCCCACGTTTGCACTAGCTGAGCGCGATGCCTATTGGCAACGAGCGATGCTGGAGGAGATGAAGGCGATCGAGGAGAACGAGACTTGGGAGCTCGTCGATCCGCCTCCAGGATGTCATCCGATCGGGCTGAAGTGGGTATACAAGGTGAAGTGGGACGAGCGCGGTGCCATCGTCAAGCGCAAGGGGCGCCTCATCGCTCGCGGCTTCATCCAGCGTGAGGGTATCAACTTCGAGGAAGTCTTTGTGCCGGTGACGCGCATGGGGTCGGTCCGGCTATTGCTGGCCCTAGCAGCGGCGAAGGACTGGTGCGTCCACCACCTCGACGTCAAATCAGCGTTCCTCAACGACGAGCTCACGGTGACGGTCTTTGTCGAGCAAGATCCGAGCTTCGTTGTCATGGGAGCAGATCACAAGGTGCTCAGGCTGCGGAAGGTGCTATATGGGCTTCGGTAGGCCCCATGGGCATGAAACACCAAGCTCGATGCCACGATGGGCGAGCTTGGGTTCACTCGTTGCGCAATAGAGAACGCGCTCTACACGCGACGATGGGGGAATGAGGAGCTCATCGTCAGCGTGTACGTGGACGACTTGATCATCACCGGAGCACGAGCAGAGGACATCGACGGCTTCAAGCGTGAGATGGCGGCTCATTTTTGAATGAGCAATCTCGACATGCTCTCCTACTACCTCGGCATCGAGGTGAAGCAGGGGAAGGACTCCATCTCCCTGGTCCAACGCGCCTACGCGAAGAAACTACTGGAGCACGACAGCATGGCGGATTGCAAGCCAAGCGCGACTCCAGTGGAGGAGAGGATCATGCTGTCAAAGCATCGTCGGCACCGCAGCGAAGGTGGACGCGATGTGCTACCAAAGCATCGTCGACAGGCTACGCTACCTGACGCATACTAGACCGCACATCGCATTCGCGGTCGAGTATGTTAGTCGTTTCATGGGGGATCCTTGAGAGGACCATTGGACGGTGGTGAAGAGGCTGCTGCGGTACATCAAGGGGTCGCTGGATCAGGCGTTCATCTTCCCCAAGCATGGTGGCGGGAGTAGGTTGCGGCTCACGGTCTTCAGCGAGGCACCCCCCAAGAACGATGAAGGTGAGCCAGAGCTTATAGTCTTCAGCGATGCAGACATGGTGGACGACATTGACGGACGGCGGAGCACCTCCGGCGTGCTCGTCTTCCTCGGGCCAGCTCCAATTGCTTGGCAGTTGCTGAAACAGAAGATTGTGGCACTGTCAACATGTGAGGCGGATTATGTTGCAGCGGCCACAGCGGTGTGCCAGGCGGTTTGGCTGCGCCGGCTGCTGGGCGAGCTGACCGGCGTGGAAGCTCACCCACCAGCACTGATGGTGGACAACAAGCCTGCCATCGCCCTCGCCAAGAACCTGGTCCTCCATGACCAGAGAAAGCACATTGACATCAAGTTCCACCTCCTCAGAGACTGCGTCGATGGAGGGTAGATCATCATCGAGTTCGTCGAAACTGGTCGGCAACTCGCTGATATCCTCACCAAGTCACTCGGGCGTCTTCGGTTCATGGAGCTGAGGACGATGGTTGGCATGGATGAGGTTAGCAGCAGGATTAGGGGAAGAATTGTAAGACATAACCTGCTGCTCTCCCTCTCTCTCTCACGTGCGACAGCAGTGGTCAGCCCTGCTGTCATTCCTAGTCACTGTAGCGACGTGGCAATAGGTCATGTCTGTAGTACTCTTGTACTAGGATTAGATAGGAGCAGCGTACTTGCCAACTGCCCTTGTGCCTGGCAAGGCACAATTAGAGTTGTATATATTCTATCCAAAAGCAATGGAATACTTAGTTCAGCTTGCCACACTTGAAGCAGAGTTCGGCCAACGCTGGTGCTTGTGCTGTGTGTGTGTTTTGAGCTCACCCCCTTTCTTCAACCTCTTGCCGACCAGTGTGAGTGTGTGGGTAAGCTAGCTGCTTACTCGTGCAGGGATGAGGGACCAACAGGTTAGAAGGTCCAGATCGTATTTTTGTGGGTGGCATTTGCTTGAATCATTGGGTCCTGTACGTGGATTCGATCTTGTGAAGGATAGGGAAACCGGTAACTCAAAGGGCTATGCATTCTGTGTTTACCAGGACCTCAATGTCACTGACATTGCTTGTGGTGCTCTAAATGGTATCAAGATGGGGGACAAAACCCTTACTGTCAGACGAGCAAACCAGGGGGCATCTCAGCCTAGACCAGAGCAGGAAAGTATCCTATTACAGGCACAGCAACAGGTGCAGTTACAGGTATAGACCAAACTATGTAATTATCATCCATGGCAATGTTTTGTTCTGTTATGTCAGTCAGGTTGTACGTTTACCGTTGATCTTGGGTTCTGTTCCTGAGAGTTGCTCTTGTGAACAGAAACTTGTGTATCAAGTTGGAGCACTGCCTACAAAGGTTGTTTGCCTCACCCAGGTGGTAAGTGCAGATGAATTGAAAGATGAAGAGTATGAGGACATTATTGAAGACATGAGGCTAGAAGCAGGCAAATACGGTATTTACTGTTGATCTCCTGCAGAATTAGAGCACTTCTCCATCTTTTGCATTTCTCAATATGCCATTTCTGACTCCAATAGTTTCAGATTCAATTGTTATGTTGATTAGTCAGTACAGTTACAGTAGTCAGTACACATAAAGAAAAATCTTTTCCTCAGGAAATTTGGTGAAAGTTGTGATCCCACGTCCTGACCCCAGTGGACAGCCAGTTGCAGGAGTTGGAAAGGTGAGCCTTACTATGATTTGAGGTTTAAACTGTACTGTAACATCTGTATTGAATTGTTTCTGATGCATGGGCTTGCCATCGCAGGTGTTCCTGGAATATGCAGATGTTGATGGTGCTGCCAAAGCAAAGACGGCATTGCACGGAAGGAAATTCGGTGGGAAACCCGTGGTTGCGGTTTGCTACGCGGAGGACAAATTTGCCAATGAGGAATACGATGGATAAATATTGGCCCACCATTATCTTTTGCCTACATGTTCGTAATCAGAATGATGAAAGATTTCTCACCTACGCTGAATGTGTCGTGTTAGCCCTGGATTTATGCTGAGCCACCAGTCGCGAACATTGAAAGAATAGATTGAGAAAAGTACCTGATCCTCAGCCTCCATCTTGATGTATTCGGGTTATTTGCCTGTTCTGTATCTAGTTTCCCTATTGTTGTTTCCGTTGAATTTCTTGGTGATACAGTATGGGCAATTGGCTGGCTATCGCGAATGACGATAATGAAGGAACATCATGCATGCTTTTCCTCGTATATCCGCTACCCAAACTGCTGCGTAAAATAAAACGCCACGCAGGCCGGCCGTGCCGTGGCACTGCCATTTCCACACAAGAACCTCACCCTTTCTTCAAACATGCCAAGAACCTCACCCTTCTCTTCAAACATGCTACCGGTGCCTATCATGTATGGAGCCCGCTGCAGCATGGAGAGTTGCAGCCATTAACTGCACCTTCGAAGAAGCGGCTGCTGAAGATTCAATCAAATAATCCCACTCTGGAGGCCAGAAAAAACGGAGAAGTGAACTCAATTACTATTGCTAAGTTAAAGCTACTTGTACTCAACCCGCGCAAGCAGTTGCACGGACTAGCGAGGGCGCGTTTGGTTCTCTTGCCGATGCTTGCTTTGCCTGGCTGGACAAGGAAGATCAAGGCATTGGTTGTCTTGCTCGCTACCTTGGTTTCTGCACTTTCCAATATCTTTCTAGCTAGCCAGGGGCAAGCCGGTATCGTCCACTGATGCTGGCATGCCTAACCTTCCTGAGCGAGGCAAGGTGAGGCTATACCAAATACGCCAGAAGTTGCTACTCCCTGATTTCTAAATTCTAGATCAATGGTACAATAATTATTTTTAGATACACTTTGGACCGTTCCATTCGTCTTCTACACTACTTAAAAGTGCGCGATGGTTTCGCTCCAAGCACTCGTCCGCCGTTGGCTTCTCCGCAGTCAAAAGCTCACGCATCATCATCCCCAACCAGCGTTCGGCCGGCGGCTCGTCCTCCCCAACCAGCGCTCATCTAGCATGCACGAAGCTCCACTCCTGAGCCACGATGCCTCCGAAAGCGAAGCAGCATGGCGTTTGGTTCCCAGGCTGGCCTCGCCTAGCCTAGCCTGGTGGCGCGGGCGACGAGGACCTTGCCACAGGTCCGGCGAGCCAATTCGTCTCTCGTGCATCATTAGCAAAATAAAGCTTGTCCGCAGGAACTCCCACATACTCTCACTTGCTGCTTTGGTGTCTCCCCTTGTTAGTGGAGTTTTTTCAGAGGTAGAGACATCTATCTATCAGACATGATCCGAGTAGCACCGAGATAGATAGACGCACGCATAACTAAAAGGATCTCTGTAACAATCACAGGTGAGCAGAAGGTAAGAAGTTTTATTTCCATGCTCCGTCTAGCTAGAACTCTTCCACACTATGTGGTCTGCCGTACGTGTCGGGCCTAAGCTGCAGCGACTGTAGCCGTCCCAATTAACTTCTACTAATAATATATCCAAGAAGTGCTATACATACATACATACATTTTTCCAATTTTCTCTACTCATCCAATTTTCGACCGGACTTGATCTGAACATTTTTTTTAACACAAATGGCAGAAGTTCTGCATTTTAATTAAGATAGAAGGAGAAATTGTACAAAGTAGTACAAGACCGTGGCCTTAAGGTCAAAGAGAGAGGACTTGATCTGAACATCCAACATGGCTGTGATGCTAATTATTATGCTCTCAATGTGATGAAGGTGACTAGACTAGTAATAATGGCTCTTTACATACATGCATACATACATACATATATATATATACATATATATATATATATATATATATATATATCATCGCACGGTATGCATGTGAAAGTACATATATGCCTGTAGCCTCATCAGAAATGTGCTCCAGAGTAGGTTAACCACATACTGTAGTGAAAACCATGCTTAGAGAAACCCTTTGTGTTTAACGAACACACCGAGCTCCATCCAAACTTTGCTGTTTAATTTGGTGTCTCCCCTTATTAGTGGAGGTTTTTCAGTGGCAGAGACATCAGGTATGATCCCAGTAGCACCGAGATAGACACATGCATAACTAAAAGGATCTGTAATTACAACCACAGGTGAGCAGAAGGCAAGAAGTTTGATTTCCATGCTCCGTCTAGAACAAACTCTTCCACACTATGTGGTCTGCCGTGTCGGGCCTATACCAGCAACGACTTTAGCCATCCCAATTAACGAAATGACTGTTGAGCAAAAAAGTATCGATGGATGAAAAGTGACTGATGTGCATTCTCGGATGAACAGTGTTTGTACAAATATAAAAGCCCAATGGGCGGTTGCCTGTTGGCGAAAAGGTGCCTTTCTATGCCTATTCTGGAACTGTCATTAGCAGTTGCTAATGATGAGATTAACATAAATTGATCACTAAATAATAAATCTTAACACTCTCCCTTGATCAATTGGTTCCTTGTAGGCATCATTGTGTGTTCATCAATCATCATTTTGAAGCTTTGGAAAACCCTGCAGGAAAAAACCAAAGTGTATCGATATACTAGGCAAACTCTTTAAAACCCTCTGGGAAAAATAAGGAGAAACACCATGATATATATAATTCCCAATGTTAATAGACCCTTTAGGTGGCCCCAAAGAGATAGCCTAAAAACAATTTGATCAAAGATCAATATGTCATAAATATTATCTTTGAAAAACCCCTGTTGGGAAAATAGATAATATGACATTTACTATGTGTTGACATAGCCTCATTAAAAACTTTATACTAGAAAACTCTAGAAGAGTAAAACTCACATAAAGAAAAGAGTGCAATGTGATGTCTGAATACTGGTTATGATTTAGAGAGATTCTCCCCCTGATTCTTGCAAGTCCCTAAGCCTTTTCATACCAATTCCTTCAACACATTTATGGAATGTGGAGTATGGTAGAGACTTTGTGAACAAATCCGCAAGATTATCACAAGACTTAGTTTGTGAGATTTCAATTTCTCTATTCTTTTGTAGTTCATGGGGATAGAACAATTTAGGAATAATATGTTTCGTCATATTACTCTTAAGATAACCTAATTCCATCTGCACAACACATGCCGCATTATCTTCAAAGATAATGGTTGGTGTCTCAAGTGCACCAATACCACATGATTGCATTATGTGGTTTGTCATTCTGTGAAGCCATATGCACTCACGTGATGCTTCGTATAAAGCAATTATTTCAGAATGATTGGTGGAAGTAGACACTAAAGTCTGCTTTGAAGACTTTCAAGATATTGCTGTTCCACCTTGCCAGAATACAAATCTTATTTGTGATCTGCCATTGTGGGGATCTGATAAATAACCAGCATCTGTATACCCTAACAAAATTGGATCTTGATTTCTACTATAGAATAATCCAAGATCTCTTGTGCCATTGAGATATCTCAAAACAGTTTTAACTCTTACCCAATGACGTTTGGTAGGAGCAGCACTGTGTCTTGCTAGCAAGTTTACTGCGATTGCAATATCCGGCCGGGTGCTATTAGCAAGATACATTAGTGCTCTAACGGCACTAAGATATGGGACATGTGGCCCAAATATCTCTTCTTCTTCCTATGGTCTAAAAGGATCCTTTTCAACATCTAAGGATCTCACTACCATCGGGGTTTTTGTTGGATATGACTTCTCCATATTGAATTTCTCCAATACTTTTTGGACATAGGCAGCTTCGTATATAAATATACCAGAATGAAAATGCTCAAGTTGTAAACCCAAGTAGAATTTGGTTTGGCCCAAATCTTTCATTTCAAACTCCGTCGTTAAATGATGACGTGATTCATTTAATATCAGGTTCGTTGCCAATGATATTAAGATCATCAACGCACACTGATATAATACAAAATCCTGTTGATGATTTTTTTAATGAAGACACATGGGCAGTCATCATTATTTGTGTATCCCTTCAAAGTAATTAATTCACTTAACCGATTGTACCACATTCGGCATGACTGTTTCAAGCCCTATAATGACTTCTACAACTTGACACAATACAAGTTGCGATTTGCCTTGGGATTTGGTATACTGATTCCATCAGGAACTTTCATGTATATATCATAATCCAATGACCCATACAAGTATGCGGTCACTACGTCCATCAACTGCATAGATAGACGATTTTGTACTGCCAGTGATATTAAATATCGGAATGTTATTCCACTCATTACCAGAGAGTAAGTTTCGTTGAAATCAACGCCAAGTCTTTGTGTAAAACCTTGTGCCACGAGCCTTGCTTCATATCTCACCACTTCATTGTTTTCATTCATTTTACGGACGAAAACCCATTTGTATCCCACAGGGAAGATACCAGGGGGTGTTGGCAATACGGCCGAAAACACTTCCCTTTTATAAAGTGAGGCAATGTGTTTCAATTGCTACCTTCCACTTATCCCAGTCAGAGCGCTTCTTGCACTCCGTCATAGACTTAGGATCTGAATCAGTTTGAAGGATATTTGCAATTTGCTCTGAGAAATAAATGTCGACTAATATGGACTTACGATCATACGACTCTTCAGTTTCTATGAAATTTATAGCAATTTCATGTACCCTTAAAGATTCAACATGACTTCCCGAAACGATGAATCCGGGGTCTTACGATGTTCCAGGCTCAGTGTTTATGCACACAACTGAGCTAGATGGTGGATCACATCTATCCACAGGACCTTGTATGTCCTCTAGGTGTCTTTCAACTAAAGGTTGAGTAACATTTCTAGTCTTCTTTTGCTTGCCAGCAATCACATCTTGCCTCTTGGAAATGCTTCTCCCCCTCTTTTTACCAATTTGGGGTTGAGTGGTTTTATTAGGTACCTCCACTCTTTCAGGCACATTCCTTGCAGGATAGTGTAACACCTTTATAATTAGAGAAAGCATCTGGCAGATTGTTTGCAATATTTTGCAAATCAATAATTCTTTGAACTTAC